TCCTCACCTCCCTTGAGGTACCCTCCTGCTTTCTGTAATCTTTTTCTGTTGCCTGATAGCCAGGGCCTTAGGGCCAATTGCCCACTACCTAAACTTCATACTATCCCAGTTGCTGGGCTCTAGCTGAATCACCGATACCATTCCTGACTACCTTCCTGGCCCAATCCATCACCCATGATCCCAGGTTATGATATTCTCCCAAGTATTGTTTCTGAGACAATCCCAGAGCTAACTAGTAAGATTCAGAATAGATAGTTAACACCTCACACCTAGTTTTCTCAGTCAAAAAATTTCTTAGTGTGCTTGAGACCAAAGTACTTTGTTTCTTAAAAGGTAAAATTCACAGTAAAATATATATACATATTAAGGCATCAATTTCCTTCAACTTAAGTTCTTGATTTACATAAATAATAAGGCTTTTGTTCTTTTAAATAGTCTCAAAAATTGTTTATGGCTATGTTAACAATATTTGGATTGTGTCAGAAAGTCTTCTCTAATCTGGTAAGCTATCCACACCATTTATTTGAAGTTTCTTTGACCAAGTTGTTTTCAGTGAAAATAAGTATGGCTTTTAAATTACCAAAAGGTCTACACAGTAATGAAATTGCTACTTGCTTTATCAATTTCTTGGGAAAAAATGCAGCCAACCACTTGTTGAGCTGGGTTCAAACACAATCCATCACTGCATTCACTGATACTTTATTATTTAGTTATTAATCATTAAAGAGGAAAACATTTTAATTAAATAACTATATGTTATACTTCTAATTTTTTAATTAGTTGATTTGCTCTAAATACAGTACTGTAATCCTTTTAGCTGAACATTTTGAAAATAATAAAAAAAATTGAGTCTCTTTTCCTTGATCTTTGAAATTTGGGAGGGAGCTGGGGAAGGAGAAGGAGGAAGTGCGCTATGTGAATGTCAAATGACACCCAAAAGTTTTTAAAACCCCAGCAAAGGCTTTGTGCTTCGCAAAGTTCTACTCAGGCACAGAGAGAAAATGTTATCCATGACAGAGTATTACAATAATGCCAAAGAAGCAATTCTTGTCTCCATAATGGGAAGTTACATGTCAAGATAAAATAACTCCAGGTCTTTTATATTTTACAGTGGACTAATAACTTATATTGCTATTACTAAGGGATGTCAGTTTCCACTTTCTAAGCAATTTAATTACATTCACTCTTCTCCAATCATTAATCCCCTTTCTAGGCCCTTTCCTAGTTTACAAAGAAAAATGTAAGTGAACCTGCAAAGACTTTATCTGAGTTCTTAAGCAGAATACCGGGTTATCTATCTACTTTTAGGAAATACGCCTGGCTTCATTGGCAATGGGGATGGATGGAACTCAGATCTGGGTGGGTTTTTAGGATCCATTATGATTGGTTATAGGCTACCATAGCATTCTGTACTTTTCTTTCAAAATATTTACCAGTTCATAATTATATATTGTATGATAATATTAATGTCCTTCTCTCCCACATGACAATAAGATCCATGAGAGTAATGTCTATTTTTCCCACCAATGTGTATTCCAGCACTCAGTTCAGAAGGTGGCTAGATGTAGTAAGTGTGCCAAACATCTTTTATGGGAAAAAATAAATAGAAAATACTAAGATTTTACATTGTTTTCAATGAGTACTTAGAAAATTGGTGGGTGAGGTGGCTCACGCCTGTAATCCTAACACTCTGGGAGGCTGAGGCAGGAGAATTGCTTGAGCCCAGGAGTTTGAGGTTGCAGTGAGCTATGATAAAGCCACTGCACTCTAGCTGGTGTGAAAGAGAGAGACTCTGTCTCTGCCCCCCCCCCAAAAAAAGAAAATGGATCAGTGCCAGTCACTTGGTATGTCCCATGTAATGAAATTCTGCAAAAGGTATCTGTGAACAATTCCATAACTGGTAATAACACATTTCAAACACACCCACCTTTCCCTATTTTCTTTACTTTCTTCTTTACAGAGGTTGGTTGGTTTCAGGCCAAAGTTGATCTTCTCTGGTGAGTATAGAGTAAAGCCCTTTTGCACATTATATTAGGAACGTTCTATATTTTGTTTTTTATAATTCAGTTTGTCTTTACGGTCCAACTGAAAATTTAGAACATCAGAAAACAAAAAATTTGTTAGAAGCATATACCTTAATCTGTTACATCAGTCATATGAAGACATTTCTTTCTTTTAAAACCCTTCTCCTTCACATGGTAGAACCATCTGAAAGAAAAGAGTCATCTGATGGCATGGCAGGGGTAAATCAATACTGATAGTTTTCAAACTGGAGTGTGCATGAGAATCACCTGGAGGACTTGTTAAAGCACAGATGGCTGTGCTAACACCCAGTTTGTGATTCCATAGGTTTAGTGTGGGGGCTTGAGAATTTGTTTTTTCTTTTAATAGTTTTTTTGAGGTTTTTTTGAGATGGAGTCTTGCTCTGTCACCACAGCTAGAGTGCAGTGGTATCATCATAGCTCACTGCAACCTCAAATTCCTGGGCTCAAGCAATCCTCCTGCCTTAGCCTCTTGAGTAGCTGGGACTATAGGCATGCACCACCTCACCTGGCTAATTTTTTTTCTATTTTTGGTAGAGACCAGGGTCTTGCTCTTGCTCAGGCTGGTCTCAAACTCCTGAGCTCAAGTGCTCCTCCCACCTTGGCCTCCCAGAGTGCTAGGATCACAGGCGTGAGCCCCCAGTCCCAGCCTTTTTTTTTTAAGAGCTGGTGCTTCATTCTGCTGCTACATGATTATAGATCACTGTAGCCTTGAACTTTTGGGCTCAAGTGATCCTTTCACCAAAGCCTCCCAAGTAGCTGGGATCACAGGTATATGCCACCACGCCCAGTTAATTTTTTTTTTTTTTTTTATTTTTAGGTAGAGATGGGGGAGGGTCTCGAAGTCTTGCTATGTTGCCCAGGCTGGCCTGGTACTCCTGGCCTCAAGTGATCCTCCCACCTTGGCCTCCCAAGGTACTGGGATTACAGGTGTGAGCCAGCATGCCTGGCAGAGTTAGTATTATATTTCTAACAAGTTCCCAGGTGATGATGCTGCTGCTGGTCTGGTGCCCATACTTTTGAAACCCACTAGAAAACAGTTGCTAAAAGGGCATCTTGCTTTGTGTAGGCTCAATACCTGCAACATTCTTGGTTGAAACGATTTCACAGAGAAAATGATAAATGGTTAGGAGAGATGAGTTATCAGAAGGTGATATACATTATGGAACACATTATTAAATAACAAGGTGGCCTTATTATCCTTGGTTTTGGGAGGTTTTTTGGCAATTAAGCTTCTTCAGGAATTATTTTCACTTGTTACAACTAAAAATCTGGGAGGAAAAAAACTCTTATATTTTGTCCTCAATAATAATCACTTCATTGCCTCCTTGCCTTTCAGTACTCCAAGCAAGCCTGTTGAGTCATTATTTCTTTATCTGTAGAAAGGGACATGGTAACAGTACCTATCTCAGTGACTTGCTGTGAGGATTAAATGAGACTCTAAATGGAAAATACTTGGCACTGAGAATGGCCTGTAATTTAGCTACTAATTTAAGGAAATAAATTCCAATGGTCCTGGAATCAGTGATCCAAACTACTTAAATCTCCTAAATCTCTAATATATTAATTGATCATTGATCACAGAAATAATCCTGAAGTTGTCACATACACACAAAAAAAGGTTATGATGTTCCAGGTACCCTACTTACTGTGGCAAAGAGCAGTTTGATTTGGAAATGTTGGCACCAGGCACCAGGGCAGCATTCCTCCAATTGCACTAGATTATAAGTAAGAATCGCCTGAAGCACAACTTAACATACAGGCTCCTGAGCTCCACCCTAGACCAACCAAAAGCCTGTCCTGGGGAGAAGCCTAGGAATCTTTAAATAATCGCCCTAGGTGATTTTTTTCTGATCAACAACTTTGAAAAACACTAAAGAGATCTCCCACTCCATTCTAATTATGGCTAAAGCCCTCAACATCATTTCTATGTAATCGGTAAACCACTGTTTACTAGAAAACACTGTTTACTAGAAGCCCTTTGACTTAGTAATTTTGTTATTTTGAGTCGAACTGAAAGTCACTTGGAGAGGTCAGTTGGAAATGGGGTTGTTTTTGCTTTGGAAAGGTTCTCAGTGTTTTGAGGTTAACTCTCCCTTTCATACTAGCCGGGCCCTGTGCCTCCTCTCAGAATTGCCTGCCTAATCCCTCCCTCTCTTGAACTTTCTGCGGCAAGTCTCCTCCTCCTGCTTCCTCTCCTTTCTGATCTCAGCCTCAGGTCTGGCTTGTTTGTCTCTTCACTGCATTTCTTGAGTAGAACATTTGGTGCTTTCCCAGTTCACGATGCTTTGCTGGAATAGTCAATTTCCAGGGATTTTACAGGCTGGCCAAAACAGTTTGTTCAGAACAGCGACGCCGGGCCGAGGACTGGCAGCCGGTCGGCCGAGCGTTCCCTGACGCTGCACAACCACTCGTGACCTTGGCGAGCGAGCGCCGCCGGCCCCGCTCTTCCCGGTGGCCTCAGGGCAGTGCCCAGGCTGGACTTTGGAACTGAAGAGGGCGGGCGGGGACTGGAGAGGTTTCGTAAACAGGAGAAAAGACCCAGAAGCCATAAACCAGTTCTTTTTCCTTTCTGGAGGAGAGTCCTTCTTTAAAAGAAAAAAAACTACTTGAGGAGGGGAGGGAAATATCTGCCCAGGGCTGGAGACAAAGCGTGAGAACTCAGATGGCATAAAGAGGCTAGAGTGAGAAAATCCGAAGGAGGGAGGCTGAGAGCGAACAATTGGGTTAAAAATAGAAACGTAGCCTGCTCAGGACTAGCTCTTTCCAGCCCCACCCAGAGGCCGGCCGCCCGACCAGTGACTCGGCGCCGCGCTACAGCAGCACCCCCAGGTTCGGCCCCGCCTCCCGGGCCCAGTGACTGGGTGCCGGGGCGGGGCCTCGGGCCCGTGTCGTCACCGCGCTCCCAGCCGCCGCCGTCGGGGTTTTCGCTGACGCACAGGCCCCGCCCCTCCCCCCCTTTTCCCTCACCGCCCGAGAGCCGGGCGGAGAGAGCGCGTCAGTCGTCCGGGTCGCGCAGCCGTCAGCATCTCGGGCACCGGCTCGTCCGCTGCCGGGAGCGGCGCAGCCTTTCTGGCAGTGGCAGAAACGACGGACAGCGCCATCAGTGGGCCTTCACGGCGCCCTGGCCTCTCTGCACGCCCTCCGCTCACCCCCCTAGTCGGCCTATCCTGCCGCCTGTGGAGGCGTGAGGCGACGGCGGGCGAGCGCCTCTAGCAGCGTTAGCCGCTGCGGCCTCCGGTCCTCCCTCCGCCTCCTCCTCTGCCCCCCCGCCTCCCTCCTCCCACTTCCCGAGCTCCGGCGTGTCCCAGCCACGCTAGGCGCTGCTTCAGGAACAAAGGAAGACCCCGCGGCGGCGGCGCCTCCTCGGCTTGCGGCTCCGACCCGCTCCCGGCCAGCAGCGGCGGCGGCTCCAGGGCGCCCGGCTCGCCCTTCCCGGAGGCCTCGGCCCGGCCCCACCGCGCCGGCGTCTCGCGCGAGCCCGGCTCCTGCATTTGGGTCCCCGCAGAGTGAGTGGTGCGAGGCTGGGGGCGGGAGAAAGGGGACCGGGACGCCACGGGCGTCCGGCGAAGCTCGAGCAGGCCGCAGATGGCGGCGTCCGGGGGAGGGGAGCACGCCCGCCAGCTCAGGAAGCACAAAGACGGAGGCGTCATCCTGTCGTCGTGGCCCGAGACCTGGCGCCCTGCACCTCCGGCTCACTCGCACCAGCACGGTCGGGGAACAATGGCCGGCGTGCAGCCTGCGCGGTGCCGGGCTCCGGGCCTCGCGTCCGTCCTGGCTGCCCTCGGCGGCGGTGCCGCGGCGGACAGCCTGACCCGGAGAAACAAAGGGACCGAGACGGCGGCCGCGCCTCCTGTCCACTGAACCCCTTACGTTTCCTCCTCCTCAGAAGAGCCATTTAGGGTCGGGGGTCGGCGCGGAGCTGGCGGGTGTGGGGCCGGCCGGGCCTGCGGAGCTGCTGTTCTGCATGACTCAGTGGTTTTTGGAGGAGGCCCTGCTGGCTTTCCTGAGTGAGGCCTTTGCACGGAGGGGGATGGGGCACCAGTGGGACCCAAACTTGTTCCAAAATGCGCTGGAACGTGGGGTTGGGGGTTTTCCGTCATTTGTTTTCCCGATATCGCTGCGTTTGCCCCCCAAGATCTCTTGCATGGAGGAAATGGAGCACCTTCCCCTTTGTTTCGTGTATTTAGGCTGGTGAACGTGAAATTTTTTTGCTTGCTTGCACGCACTTCGTTTAGCTATGTTTTGGAGAAAGGGTCGACTTGTCTTTATTGATTGAATGTCTCCTAAAGATATTTAAGGAGATATTAAAATAAAATGGTATATAGGTCACAGAGCGCTGTTCTTAAGCCCGGGATTCAGGTAATTTGCAAACTTCTAAAATTTAAATGCATTTCATTTTACTCCTTATTTTTAAGGTTTTTTTTAAAAAGTAGGATTTCAGAACTCAGTTGGTGAAAATAGTGCGATTTATCGTTCTAGGTTTTTTCTTAAAATATCCCCCCAAAATTTGAGAATTTGTGGTTCGTTCTCCCCTGTTTTCTGTCTCGGACCCGATGTTAACCCTGAAAAGGAGTCTTTAAAAATCAATCTACTCCATTTGGCAAAGAGGGTACTGAGATCTGGAGAGTGAGGACTTGCCCAAGGTCACTGACTTAGTGGCAGGTTAGAGACTAGAACTCAGGTCTCAACTCCCAGGTGAGTAGGCGTTCTTGCTGTCTCTTTTAACATGGTGTGCCACCTGAAAGAAATACATTCCATAGGTGTAAAACCCCTTTGTTCTGGCTTGGTGTTGGAGAATTATTGTTAAACCAGGTTTTTGTGTTGTTTTTTTTTTAGCTGTGAGTTAGAGTAAGCCATAAACTTTGTAAAAATATTCTTTCTAGCTATTCCTTGAATAGTGCTGACAAGCAGGCATGCACTAAGTTTCTAACTACTTTAAAGGTACGAAATAGAAATGGTATTGTATTTTTCTAAAATGCAGACAAGTAGGAGGAAAAGGCAGTACCTAATGGTGAACACAGATTCCTCCTCCCCCATCACTCCTCCAATAATTACCACTAAATGTAAGATGTAAGGATTCTTTGTTTTGATGCTTTCACTGCTGTTTAGTTTTTTTCTAAACAACACCATTTTAGCTTCATGAGTGATTAATCATGCTTGCATCTTAGATTGAATTTAAGCTTGTTCTCTAGTCTTCTCTACGTTAGGAAAAAAAAAACTAGCAGCCTTTTTTGTTTTGTTTTCTTATTATGGTAGATATATGAACGCTGCATGCTTAGTTCTTGGGGTTGTGTAGGAGTTGGCAGGCTCTGAGTTATAAATAGAAGCTGATTTCAGAGGCCCCTGTTGACTAGGCTTTATGTGAGAGCCTCCATCCAGCTCAGCCTGTCACATTGCAGCCTTGTGACAGGCTGAAGCGCCCTCCCATGTGATCTAAGCTTCTGAGAAATATTAAAGCAAGCTGTGCACATGTGATGGCATTTAAAAGCTGGCTTTCTAGGGGAAAAGAATTTAAGATGGGAAGCCATGTAGGAGACTGTAATGTCCTGGTGTCTTGTGTGTGAGTTGAAGGATATTTATAAATTGAAGACGGAAAGGTGGACTGCTTTGTATGTCAAAGTGGGTGAAATCATTAGATGGGATCTCCACCATTTTATTTATCTAAAATGGATTTTAAGAATCAGATTAACTGAAATGATTTAGTGTGGTTGATCTTAAACATAGACCAGTTTGCATTTAAAGACAATGTCAGATGAATGTATGTTAGTATAGAAAGTGTAAGCTAGCATAATTCTTCAACTAGCTTTAAGGAATGGCCCAACTTTTTGTATAGGGCAAAGATTCACATACTTTGTGCGTGGTGGGCATGCAAATAAACACCTCATTTATGATTTGAATCATATTTTGCTCATTATACTCAACATACAAAAACCCAGCTGAAACTGTTTATTAATAAACTTCATAAGTGATGTTGAAATGTTTACAATACCCTGACTCCAAAGTGAGTCAGCTAAATTCCATTTACTATTTAAAGAGACAGTGTCGACCAAATTAATACTATTGTTTGAAATAAGTTGTAGATCTTGGTTACTCTTTATACAAGCTTGATTGGCATATTTGTATGCTGCACTTTTGCTAACAAAAGGGAAGGTTACTGTCATTTAAATGTTTTGGGGAATAATTATGAATGTTTGGCCAGGTCAAAATTAGTTGGTCCCCTTCTCTCTTGGTAAAGAGTTAATACTTGTTAAAATACTGTTTTTAATAACTCGATAGAGTATATTCTAGTATGTGGTAGTTGGAAATTTGGCAGCTATAGCACATAGTTTCCTTTATAAAATATTCTCATATATGCTTTTTGTACATTTATACATACTTTAAGATGACAGGAAAACCCTCCAATTTTCTTTTAAAAATGACTTTTTCTTAACTGTTTTCTGTTATCTAGAGGAAAATGTATTAAATTTAGCTCAGCATTACTATATTTTGCTAATTTTAACAAGATCTCTGGAAAAGCAATGGTATGTTTACTGTGTAAAGTTTTTTCTGGTAACCTAGTATTAAATATTAACCATTACTAAAGGTTACGTGTTTATATTGCCTTTACTATATTTGAGCTTAGAAAGGTTTCATTTTCTGATTTGAGGAAGACAAGTACTTGTCAAAATTAAGAGCCTTTGGCTGATAAATCTGTGGTTCATAATTTGTGATTACAGGTTTCTAGGCATTGGCTTTAAAGTACTCTGGAATAGATTTTTCACACCTCAAATGTAGAACATCATAGAAGGAGTTTCAAAAGCAGCTGACCCCTGAATTCTTAAAGAATTTCACTTCTTGGCTCCAGTGTAGCAGGAAGAGCTACCAGCTCTCCTTTCAGTCTTTTATAAAGTACAGATAACAGTCATTTATAGAGTACAGATAACATGCCTTATAGCAGACTTGTCAAATTATTGATGGGGCCCAAGTATGGTTAGGTGTTAATTTTAAGAAACTTTTAAGGTTAGATCCAATATTCAGCCAGTTGATATTTATCAAGAGTCAGTTATTGTGGAGTTTTTTCATTTGCAAGTTTCATTTAATATGTTTTTAGCCAGTGAAGTAAAAACATCATTTGAAATGGTCTGCCTATAGTGCAGGAGAGCAGAAAGTAACTCAAAGATACCAATTTTCCAAATTGATTAAAACATAACCCTAATATCTGGCAGACTGACCTCAGAAATTAAAAATAATACATTTTAATATTTAATGATGGAAATTTTTTTTTAGTCCTAAAGCCGTTTATTTTATAAAGGCAGCAAAATAGTCTTAATTATCTCTGCCCATTCTTCTTAATGATTAACACAATTTGGACCTTTGTTAAAAACAGACTTGTTTAAAAATAATAAAGGTACATTGATGACACGCTAATTTCTAAAGTTTTGTTTTGTTTTGTTTATAGCAGAAAAATATGGCTCAGGAGACTAACCAGACCCCAGGGCCCATGCTGTGTAGTACAGGATGTGGCTTTTATGGGAATCCTAGGACAAATGGAATGTGTTCTGTTTGCTACAAAGAACATCTTCAGAGGCAGCAGAATAGTGGCAGAATGAGCCCAATGGGTAAGTTGTTTCCAAGGAAAAATACATTTGAAGAACTGGTGGACAGAAAATATAGAATCAAGAATTGGGGTCAAAGACTGAGAATGCTGAAAGCCCAAAAAGAGAAGACTTGACAAGAGCTTGAAATTAAAGTAACAGCCCAAGTATTTGACATGACTGCTTCAAAAATGAATGACTATATGTACAAGCATCTCACAGCTTTTTCAGTTTTTTTTTTTTTTTTTTGGTTTGGATACTCAAGTGTGGGATTGCAGCACAGTGAAAGTGCTTAAATCACTAACCTAATTAAATGCAAGTATTTGTTACTTACTAAGTCTTGATACTAAGTGAATTTTTATAGTGTTGATTGGTTCCTTACAAATCTTGTTTTTAAATAGGGACAGCTAGTGGTTCCAACAGTCCTACCTCAGATTCTGCATCTGTACAGAGAGCAGACACTAGCTTAAACAACTGTGAAGGTGCTGCTGGCAGCACATCTGAAAAATCAAGGTAAGATTGAACATTTCAGAATTTTTATGATACTGCAAAGAGGAAACTAAGATGTCTCTACAAACCATACAGTAATAAGATGTTAATATATCAGATGCTCTTAGCTTTGCATGAGTTACACAATCAGGAATTCCAGTGTCCTTTAATATACGATTCTTAGGTCTTTGAGTAAAGATGTATATTACAGTGTATTCCTTAACCCCCTCAAGGGTACTGTGTTGGAAATGCTGTGCTATTTTTATTTGTAATTGAGATTTAGGGATTGTTGAGAGACTACAGACTGTATTACAGTACCAGATAAAGGTATTTTGGCAAAGCTGCCCCTTTTGCCCTTAACCAAGTTACAGGCACAGCTAAAAATTCCTAGTTGGTTATAATAGAATATTGTCACCTATATAAATGATGCAGCCTTGAGTTGATGAACCATTTATCAAATTGCTTTCTTTTCTCAATCATTTGTTCTGGGTATCCAATAACATCCTTTTTAAGATTTTAGGTTATCTAGCTCCATTTGATCGTGTTGGAAAAAATATATAATTTAAAGTTGAATTGAAAACTTACTCATCTCAAAAAGAAGTACCCTTAACATCTTTAAAAATAACTGTTTGCTTGAACTCAAATAGAAATGTGCCTGTGGCTGCCTTGCCTGTAACTCAGCAAATGACAGAAATGAGCATTTCAAGAGAGGACAAAATAACTACCCCGAAAACAGAGGTGTCAGAGCCAGGTATGCTTTTTGTTTAATACTAGTTCAGTTCTGAATAGCATGAGAAAGGGTTGGTGGGAGGATTCTTTCCTTCCCGTTGAAGGACCAAAGAGGAGGGAGAGCTGTAAAGTACAGGCCAAGCAAAGAGCTGTCTTTGAAATATCTTAAAATGTAAAATAGTCACATTCTTTACTCTCTTCTCTGGCTATCCCAGCTACTTCCGTAACCTTAAAATCATCAAACTTTGTAATCTAGAGGCTGGATGTGTTAAAAAGTTTTTTTTTTTCCCTCTACTGATGCCTGCAGTGAGGAGTGTTATGAACTTCAATTTCAAGGCCATAAAGAAAAATTTATAATCAAAAGCAGTAACTATTCAGTTTTGATACCGTCAGTGTTGTAGGAAACTTTCAAGTTAAACAATATATTGAACACTAAAAGTTGAAGTGTGGGATCCCTATCATTTTGTGGGAGTTTAAAACTCAAATGGGAAGTCATTTTGGTTTTCATGAGATAGTGACTTTGGGGCTGTGCTTATATAGCACCACCAGAAGTGCCATAATGTTGCAGGAAGGCTGGCTTGTTCGAAGTACCCATGCTAGGTCCTAGAAAAAGGATCTATGCATTTTATACAATGCACAGTTTATTCTCCCAATTTGTTCTTTTTTGGTAGAGTGATTTAATGCAATACATAGCTTTATTCTGAAAAAATAGTATTGGTGATCATGCAGACTGGTTTGGAGGCTTGCTTTTGCTAATACCATAGCCAACTTTATGTGTACTGTATGGATCTTATAAAGTTAAAGTCACATTCTTCAGTTTGCCAGGTGAATCTGTTTGTATCTGGTATTTTGAAATATTTCATCCTTCAAAAAAAACCTGATCAGATTAGTATGTTTGTGATGCCTTTGTTTATGTGTTTTAAAAAAAAAAAAAAAACTAAATTACTGACATTGGAAAAAATAGTCTTGGCTAACATTAGAGCTATAGTTAGTCTGCATTTATTTATTTATTTATTTTTTTTGAGACAGAGTCTCACTCTGTTGCCCTGGCTAGAGTGAGTGCCGTGGCGTCAGCCTAGCTCACAGCAACCTCACACTCCTGGGCTCAAGCGATCCTTCTGTCTCAGCCTCCCGAGTAGCTGGGACTACAGGCATGCACCACCACGCCCGGCTAATTTTTTCTATATATTTTTAGTTGTCCAGATAATTTCTTTCTATTTTTAGTAGAGACTCTTGCTCAGTCTGGTCTCGAACTCCTGAGCTCAATCTGCCCACCTGGGCCTCCCAGAGTGCTAGGATTACAGGTGTGAACCACCACGCCCAGACGTTAGTCTGCATTTATTATTACTTAATAGGCATTCTGTGGGTCACTGCTATTTGCTTTTTCTGTATCACTTTTCTGTTATTTCCCCTTTCTTTGTATGTCTCAGGAACCCACTATTCATTTTTCAGGTGTGGCCAATGAAAGGGTTGGTTCTGCCCCCACCCCCAGCTATTCCCATAGATTGATTATTCGTTACCCTCGTGCCATCAGGAAAAATTAAGTTGTCATAATAGCTTATTAGGAATAAGTAGTAGGTGGAATAGTGTTCTGTTAGTCTAATATTAGGCTATTGATCCCAGTAGATAAGCTAATGCAGATGAATTATAAATTTCAGCAGAGTTTTAGAGTAATTTGTCACTAAACCAATCAGCTTACTCTAGGAGCTTGGATATATGCCAGTAGCATTGGTGCTGGCGTTCAGGCAGTAATTTCAGCAATGCATGCATAAATTTGCTATTCTTAGGGTTTGGATTAATATTAAAAATCTTATTAGAGTGTTCTAGGTGCTGAATTTTATATAAGTAGAAGTAAATTTTGATATTTCGTTTTAAGGAACTATTAATAGTAAGGTAGGCTTTAATATAGTAATCTTTTTTGTTCATTGTAACATTCTACTGATGTATAAACTAAAAGTTAAACCCCTTTTAGGTAGAAGAAAGGTGGGACTTTTTGTAGATCTTATCTCTGTCCAAATTTGGTGCCCATTTCATATATAACTGACTCAGAGTAAAAGTACTTCCAAGAATTTATTCTGCCTGTGGAATCCTTAATGGTCTGAAATCAAAACTTTACAAGTACATCCTAAAGAGTGGTTGCTAATCTTTAAAAAGAAAGTTTAAAAAAATCTTTATGATTTTTCTACATATGAAAATGGAATACTCTTGTGAAAATGACAAAATGATTATCTTGAAGTTTTTAAATCTGAAGTTGATTTTGGGGAATAATGGTTTTGCTTTTATTTGTCAAAATTTGCTAGTTCCATCTACAAGATCTCTTCTCTATAAGCATAAAATCAAAATGACTTTTATAGCCAAGTGCCTCAGAAGTTGACCACTTTATTTACTGAGAAGTAGAATTTGAACTGCCCTAATTGAGGAGTTTGCATTTAGAAAATTGAAATGTAGAAAAACTGAGCATATGATCAACATCTCCCAACTGTTTGAAACATAGTATTAGGATTTTGTTCTTCAGTACTTGATGTTAAGAGTGAGTTTAAAGGAATTTCTTAAAGTGATCATTTTATAAAATTTAATGGACCAAGTAGTGGTATGATGACTGGCAGAAAATTCTCGGATTTGAAAGAAGTTCTGATATTAAAAAGGGAAGATTCTATTTATTTAAAGTTCATAATTTTAAGAAAGGCTTCTTGAACATTCTCACTAAGAAGCATCATCTTTTGATTTAGATAATTGTCAGCCAGTGAACTCTTAACAAATCTCATTTTTATCCTTGTTTTTCAGTTGTCACTCAGCCCAGTCCATCAGTTTCTCAGCCCAGTACTTCTCAGAATGAAGAAAAAGCTCCTGAGTTGCCCAAACCAAAGAAGAATAGGTGTTTCATGTGTAGAAAGAAAGTTGGTCTTACAGGTATGATGGAACACACAAAACAATGGGACTGGTTGGTCTTACACACAAAAAAATACACATTTGGAAAACAAATGGGCTAATAAGAAAGGTGGGGAGGTAGTGTTAGGGTAGCAAGAAGTTGGGTTTAATTTCCATTTCCATCTATCTCTCTAATGTGAGAAACCTTTTGTTAAGGCCCTCTGGATTAATTATCTTTTATTAGATTAAAAATGTTATCCTCTTTGATTTTCTTTGTACACTTTGGGAAAAGGTATGGCTGAGCTAATATAATAGTAAACACCTACTTTGAGCTAGGCATAAAATGTTCCAGGTACTTTTTACTTAGTTCCTTCAAATCTCAGAACTTTATGGTTCTTTCCTTAGTTATTACTTGAAGAAACATTACCCAGTTAATGTAGTAGGACTAGGTTTTGAATCTAGCTCAGCCTGACTTAAGCCTGTGTAAATTCTAGCCTATCCAGAATTGCTGAAAGAAGAGCACCTGGAAGAATTAGCTGGAAGATAGCCGATTTGTTTTCTCCATGCAGTTTGGCTTGCCAAGCACTTTCTCCTTCACAGAGTCCCTGTTGCCCTTGGAAAGGACAACTAAGCATAGTTACTTGAATTTCTTAACCCTGTCAAAGGAGGTTAAAAGCTTTCACAATTTAAAGTGATAGACTCTTATTAAGAGTTGGCTGTCTTTTCACCATTGCAAAGCAATCTGGTTCCTTTTCTGTAGTGACTAAGGCTATTTTTTTCTTTTTACATGCCTCAACTTCGCAAGTAACTGCTTCCTCTTGTTTTGTACAGGGTTTGATTGCCGATGTGGAAATTTATTTTGTGGACTTCACCGTTACTCTGACAAGCACAACTGTCCATATGATTACAAAGCAGAAGCTGCAGCAAAAATCAGAAAAGAGAATCCAGTTGTTGTGGCTGAAAAAATCCAGAGAATATAAATTACTACTTGTGAAGAGACTGAAACTTTGTTTTTATTTTAATATATCGTAGGAAAACATTAAAGAGCAGATGCATGGCCATTTTCCTTTGATGTTCTCCAGAGTTTTACTTTACACTTGTCTGTCTTATAATTGAGATTTTAGGGTGTTTGGGTGTTTGTTACAGGCAGAATTGGATAGATACAGCCCTACAAAATGTATATGCCCTCCCCTGAATAAAATTGGATGAAAATCTGCACAGCGAAGTAAAATACACAGATAATAGGGACAAAATTTAGTTCCCATGTGCCAAACAAGATAAATCTCTGCATGTTTGCAGCATACCTGCCTTTTGGGAATGTAATCGAGGTATAATCTTTGGCTAGTGTTACGTGCCTGTATTTTTTTAAAAAAATGGTACACCAGAAAAGGACTGGCAGTCTACTTCTACCATATATAGTTAAACTTCACCCTCTTAATTTACACATGTTCTTTGGAAGCAGGAAGAAAGCTATAAAGAGGATCAGACCTACCTTCCAGTGAAACAAATATTTGGTGCCATATATAAGCCTGGTTAATTTGGTCTTCTAAATGCTGTCAAATAAGACATTCTGTGAAAGGTAAACATTGCAACTTGTTATAAGTAAAACCATCAAGCCAACAACAGGGTCTCGAGATAATCTTTGAAGCTTATTGTGCTGGCCTGCACCAGAAGATGTCTGCATTACTCTCATTGCTAAAAATGCGTAGCACAGAACTGCACTAGAATTTGTTTACAAGAAGAAATTAATACTACGTTTGGTTTTCACATACAGCAGCTCTATTGAATAACATGCATCTGAATTTTAAGTTGCAAAGGTATCTGAACAGTTAATTTTTCATGTGCATCTTTTGTTGAATGTTTTGGTTCAAGAAAGAATGTTTAAAGCTTTTTAAAGACTTCAGTTCTTAATGTAACTGTACCCTTCTGCATGGAAAATCATAACCAACATGGCTGCAGTAGACTTCTTAGTGGTATCCAGCACCACTTGCAGAGGGCTGCTTTATCATATTAATTGTACTTGGGTGTAGGACTCTAGTGTTCTTGGGTGTATTGCATGGGCTGCATTATCTACAGCATTGTACAATAACAACTAGAAAAGGCAGTATACTTCACTGATGCTTGTCTGGTAATATCACTTCTGTGTTATAATGGAAGGTTTTTTGTGATGTATGAAACTTGTGTTTTTTATATATAAATGAGTATAGTTAGATTAGTGTTGTGGTAATGCCTGTTTTCATCTGTAAATAGTTAAGTATGTACACGAGGCACTACTGATTTACTGCAGTGTTCAGTCCTAGTTTTTACTTTGATTCCTAAAGCATTCAGTTTTGCTTTCAATTTTATGTACTTTAGTTCTGAGTTAGATCTGCAGATGTGTACAGATAGTTCATATTTATGTATTGCACATAATCATGCTATTCAGCATTGATGCTATATTGTATTATGTAAATAATAAAAGCCATGTACAGAGGGAAATTTCACTTGTTCATTGGGTTTTTAAGCCACAGTTAGAATCCTAAAGGGAAAATTAGAAAATGTTAGACTTTGCATGGCTACATTGTAATTTTGATTTTCTTTGCCATCCCTGAACTTGATTGTTCCAGTGAGAACCGTGAGATGAGTTGTTCGAAACATTTTCAAGTGCCATACGTGGTAGGCAGTTTATTTTTGAAGAATGAATAGGCACCTTAAAGATCAAAATCTTAAAACTCAGGAGAAAGGCCATAATTGTTCAAGTTTCCTTTCTCCCTTTTCCATGTTTTGCTTTGATAGATGACATTTTATGATAAAAATTCTGAAGAGGAAAAGTAGGCATGACCTATTGTATACAAAAACAGTTAACTTTGATTTCTGTTTTGGGTTTGATTCTAATGTGGAGATGGACCCAAGGACTTGGTCTTTCCAGGTGTCATGCCAAATAATGAAGAACAAAAGCAATGAACAGTTACAGGCATACTTTGCCCAGTGGGTAACTGAAGCCAAGAGCAAACCACTGCTTCTCAGTAATGGAGTCTGGGATGGAAATATCCTAGTTTACCTTTATCTGTTAAGAGTTTGCGCTGCTACTTCAAGTGGGGGAGATCCCTATGCTGCGATAAGAGTACTATTTCCCTAAATACGAAGGCTATTGAGGTTTCACAATTTACTTGAAAATTACGGTATTTAGAAAGGAAACAATTTTTCAAGTTTAAAATGAAATCAGTGGTATGTGGAAAAATGTAACTTAGGTGGAAAGATGGTAGACCCTCAGACTCCATGGGTCTGTGAAGGTCTTTGAATAGTAGCAAGAGATTGTGGTAGTAAATGTTTCCATAATCACTTTTATAAGAAACATTAGAAAGGATTTGGACATAATTTGTCAAGAGCATCCGTTGATTGGGGAGAAAGGAAAGTGTGTAAGGCACCTAGGAAGATTCAAGCCTGAATGTTTCCGTCCAGACTATGAATGGGCTTTAACTCTGGAATGTATGTTGAGATATTAAGCACTTAAAGAGCATACTATGTTCCCCCTTACATAAGCAGACTTGAATCTTTACAACCCCAGAAAAATTTTGCTAGGACAGGCCATGATGACATAAATTAACTATTATGACGTGACTACTTTTTTCAAATCTAATCTTAAGTATGCCAAATCAGGTAAAACTAGCCTCTGAGGTAGGCTTCCCACAATGTGGATTAGTTTGCAAAGGAAAGCTTTTGTTTGAGCAGTAGGGCGTAGTGGTTAGGGTCATGGGCAAGTTATTTTAGGCCCACATCAGGCTGCTGCATATGTTAGATGATGGTTAACTACTTCACGAGTGAAGATACAGCACTTAAAACTGCCTGGCATATAGTAAAAATTTGCTATTGTTAGTTTTAGTGTCCTATCGCAATGACTTCAAGAACTTGGAAAATAAAGTTGAGAGCGAGCAAGATTGCTTATATATTAAGTTGTAGAGTGAAAAGGTAAAGATCTGTAACTTTTAAACTTTAAAGTGATTAGAATCATTCTTTTCAGTAAGGCTTTCTTTGCAGATGTCTGCATTAAGTGATGTTCCTAGCAAGCAAGTAAAAATGAGCAGATGTCTACTGAGTAATAATAGCAAGATGTTAAGCATACTATTCTAATTTTATTTTGGGGGGTTCGTAATACATTCACATGGTTCAAAAATGAATTAATACATTGAGAAGCAAAGCCTCTCTCATCCTGACCCTTATCCTCCATTCCAAAAACACACTGAGATTTCAGATAACTGTCATAATTTAGAGGGTTATTAGATCTTTTCCACATAATGTAAACATTTGAATATGTACAAAGACTTAATTTGACTTGTCTAATTGTTTGCAAGATTTTTATGGTGGTTTTTGTCCATAAACATTAGCTTATAACTTTGCAGAGTGATGGATATGGTTGTTAGTTGATTAGCTATAAGATTACGTAGCCTTCAACTACCTAGTAGAGTTTCTGTGGGTGAGGCAGCAGGCTGTTAATGAAAAGAAACTTGAAATTTCACAAAGTTTCTTGTGTTTGTACAATTTGCTTTAAAAACAAATGCACACTTGCAAGAGAATACAAACGTGCCATTTAATACTTATAGCTAATTCCATGCACAAATGCTGAGTTTTAATTTATATGAAAGCAAAGAGCACCTTTTTTGTGTTTTCCCCAGTGTGCCTTTCTGTTCTAGTCCTAGAAGTAAAAGTTAACACCATTTTGTGGCATAAATGTAAGACTCCATTTTGTCTGTAATGCTAAGTGCTACTTTCCTTTTAGTATGGGTACTGATGTTGCTAAATCATACTTTACATATGATACTTAAGTCATTAACAGCAAGATGAAAGAAGTTAGGGATTATTTTCTAGTTGGTTAATCTTTTGCGTATGTCTTCCTGATGATTTTTATTGTCACCACAGAACCTCAGATTGTATATATCAAATGATTGATGATGTAACCAAGGCTGTTCAGGATTTGGGGTTATTTTATCAGTCAACTGAGTAGTTAATAGGAAATCTTTCTAACAAATTCTTAAATGTCAGCGCAAGAAGTGTTCACAAAATAGCATTTACTTAAGCACTTACCTTTTAAAATTCGTGCATCAGCCAGAAAAAAAGTATAAATTAATTAATTAGCTCAATTTAAATACTAGAGTCTTCTGAGTAATTTCTCAGACTAATCCTGTGTACATAATGCGTGGCAAATTAAAAATGTTACCCGGTTCTTGCTACATAATATGCTTCTGCCCTCTTGTCCCTCCCCATCGCTAAACCTGTGTTGAAACATGCGACTTAGAATACCATGTAAACAAATATTTAGATTTTCTATTCTGTGGCACTGCATCTACTCTTACGGAATCTCAAACATTTCTTTAAAGAAAACTATCTTATGCATCCTGGTGTTCTGGTTCCATGTCCACCCCAATAAGAAAAATACTTCCTTACGAGAGCCATGTTTCCTGAAGAATCCTTCCCTAGACCTTACCATAGGTATAGACACCCCATAGTAGGTATAGAAATAATACGTACTAAAAATATTTGGCTTCTAATGTTAAGGTTTACACTAATAATTGCTATTGTAAAAGTAATTCTACAGTAAGAACTTGTAATACTTCCCTGCTGCTTGGGTGGCTGAGGCAGAAGGATTCCTTGAGAGCCCAGGAATTAGGGTTACAGTGCATTCCACCCTGGGTGACACAGTGAGACCCTGTCTCTCAAAAAAAGAAAAAAAAAAAAAACTTGTAATAAATAAGAATGGTTAATCTGCCACCCATCCATTAGCCTTTAGCATTTGTGGTATATTTAAATGCCTGCTAAAATTACCTATGTTCTTTTCGTTTTGTTTTTCGTTTTATTTTTGAGACAGAGTCTCGCTCTGTCGCCCTGGCTACAGTGTTGTGGCGTCAGCCTAGCTCACAGCAACCTCAAACTTCGGGGCTCAAGCAATCTTCCTGCCTCAGCCTCCCAAGTAGCTGGGACTACAGGTGCGTACCAGCACGCCCGGCTAACTTTTTTCTATTTTTAGTAGAGATGGGACCTCGCTCTTGTTCAGGCTGATTGTGAACTCCTGACCTCAAGCAGCCCTCCCGCCTCAGCTTCGCAGAGTGCTAGGATTACAGGCGTGAACCACCATGCCCGGCCAAAAATTATCTATGTTTAAACAAGTTTCGTTTTTAATTTTTATTATAGCTATACTTCAGCTTATTTGGTTGGCATGAAAATTCGATTGTTTTGCATATTTGGGGCAGCATAACCAATTTTATCGGTGGCTAGATTATATCAGATGGTAAAATTAATGTAACATGAGACTTCAGAGGTTTGATAAATAAAGCAATGATACCTTTTAGAAGCAAGTGCAATCTATAGGCATCAAAATATGATGCATTCATATTCAGGCAGGGCCCTTTAGCATTCAAGTGATAGACCTGTTTATTTGAGTCTTTTATTAAAAGATAGGCTTTTAAAGTGGATTAAGGAGCAGCAGTTTTTACTTGATAAATTGGTGCCCACAGTAATATAACAAATATCCCACTTGTTACAGAACTGTGGTATCCATTCAGTATAAAATAGATTTAACCACTATGTAACTCGATAATTCTAAGAAGAGGATTGCACCAGTAAAAAATGCAATAGTAAAAAATACTAAAAGGATTATACTAGTAAAGATTCAGGGTATGAAGTAAAAGGAGAGAAAATTAACAGAAGAGCTTTATCTTTTTTTGATTACTAACTCTAAACTCAGAAAGTGAAAGGTTTTTTTGTTTGTTTGTTTTGTAGAGATGGTCTCGCTATGTTGCCCAGGCTGGTCTTGAACTGTTATTAAGCAATCCCCCCACCTCGGCCTCTCAAAGTGCTGGGATTGCAGGCATGAGCCACCATGCCTATTTTGGTGAAGGTTTCCTCAACAGGCTTTTCATGGCTTTATCAAGAATAGAATAAATCCAATCCAAGATTTTCCATTTTAAGGTCATGATTTTTTGTTTAACTCTGTAATTCTTTTTTTTTTATTTATTTCAGCATATTATGGGGGTGCAGATATTTAGGTTACATGTGTTGCCCTTGGTCCCTCCCCCCAAGTCCGTGTTTCAAATATGTCCATCCTTCAGGTGGTGCGCATTGCACTCCTTGTGTATACAAATATCCAAGATTTTCCATTTTAAGGTCATGATTTTT